TCTAAAATGCAGCATTATTCTTGTTTTGTAGGTGTTTGTTTGTGTAATTTTTTTTCTCCAAAAGGAACAAAAAAGCCATTCCAATTATTTTATGGATTAAACTGGTGTTAGAAAAATAAATAATAAATGGTAAATAAATAAAACAAATAATTAATTTATCACCATAAAAATGTCAAACTTTTTAATTATATTTTTTAAATTGACAAAACAACAAAATAATCAATTATTTATATCCCCGAGAATAAGATTTTTTAGGTTTTTCTGTATAAATATTTTTATCCTAAACTATGTTACAAAGTATTTTTTAAGCATATTAAAATTAATTTCAGTTATTTCACGTCCATGATGGATATCAAAATAATCGTCATATTATACACAATTTTTATTTGTCAATTGGAATTTCATATTTTTACTTTGTTTTGATTGAAAAAAAATCGGTTTTCAAAACCCTAACACGATTATGAAATAACTTCAAAGCCATTGATTGTTTACAAGTGACTCTGGGTACACAGTAATGACACCTATTGTCTTTTTCACTGACCACTATACCTTGTTTATTTTGTGACAGAGAGCGACCGTGTCCTATCTGAGGCTGTTTGAAATAACATTTTCTCTTTGTGAGAGAACCGAATTTTTTCAATTAAAAAAAAATAGAAGTATCAAAAAAGCTATTGACGGGTTAAGATTGTGCATAATGAGACGATTATTTTGATATCCAACACGGAAGTAAAATAATTAAAAGTAGTATAAATATGCTTCAAAAAGACTTTGAGAGACATTTAAGCGGAAACTTGTTTACATTAAATAAGCCAAATAAATCCAACTTTCGGGATTATAATTAATTTTTTTTAAAAATAAGTAGATAAATATATTGTTCTTTTTACAATGATTAAATACGTGTTTTAAATCAGTTTTATTTATTTATTCACTAACCATTTAAAAATCAATTATTGAATTGATTTCAAAAACTTTTTTTTAAATGCAGCATTACTTTTGTTGTGTAGGTGTTTGTGTAATTTTTTTCTCCAAAAGGAACAAAAAAGCCATTCCAATTATTTTATGGATTAAACTGGTGTTAGAAAAATAAATAACAAATGGTAAATAAATAAAATAAATAATTATTTTATCACCATAAAAATGTCAAACTTTTTAATTATATTTTTTAAATTGACAAAACAACAAAATAATCAATTATTTATATCCCCGAGAATAAGATTTTTTAGGTTTTTCTGTATAAATATTTTTATCCTAAACTATGTTACAAAGTATTTTTTAAGCATATTAAAATTAATTTCAGTTATTTCACGTCCATGATGGATATCAAAATAATCGTCATATTATACACAATTTTTATTTGTCAATTGGAATTTCATATTTTTACTTTGTTTTGATTGAAAAAAAAAATCGGTTTTCAAAACCCTAACACGATTATGAAATAACTTCAAAGCCATTGATTGTTTACAAGTGACTCTGGGTACACAGTAATGACACCTATTGTCTTTTTCACTGACCACTATACCTTGTTTATTTTGTGACAGAGAGCGACGTGTCCTATCTGAGGCTGTTTGAAATAACATTTTCTCTTTGTGAGAGAACCGAATTTTTTCAATTAAAAAAAAATAGAAGTATCAAAAAAGCTATTGACGGGTTAAGATTGTGCATAATGAGACGATTATTTTGATATCCAACACGGAAGTAAAATAATTAAAAGTAGTATAAATATGCTTCAAAAAGACTTTGAGAGACATTTAAGCGGAAACTTGTTTACATTAAATAAGCCAAATAAATCCAACTTTCGGGATTATAATTAATTTTTTTTAAAAATTAGTAGATAAATATATTGTTCTTTTTACAATGATTAAATACGTGTTTTAAATCAGTTTTATTTATTTATTCACTAACCATTTAAAAATCAATTATTGAATTGATTTCAAAAACTTTTTTTTTAAATGCAGCATTACTTTTGTTGTGTAGGTGTTTGTGTAATTTTTTTCTCCAAAAGGAACAAAAAAGCCATTCCAATTATTTTATGGATTAAACTGGTGTTAGAAAAATAAATAACAAATGGTAAATAAATAAAATAAATAATTATTTTATCACCATAAAAATGTCAAACTTTTTAATTATATTTTTTAAATTGACAAAACAACAAAATAATCAATTATATATATCCCCGAAAATGAGATATATTGGGTTTTTTGTATAAATATTTTTATCCTAAACTATGTTACAAAGTATTTTTTAAGCATATTAAAACAAATTTCAGTTATTACACGTCCTTGATGGATATCAAAATAATCGTCATATTATACACAATTTTTATTTGTCAATTGGAATTTCATAATTTTACTTTGTTTTGATTGAAAAAAAAATCGGTTTTCAAAACCCTAACACGATTATGAAATAACTTCAAAGCCATTGATTGTTTACAAGTGACTCTGGGTACACAGTAATGACACCTATTGTCTTTTTCACTGACCACTATACCTTGTTTATTTTGTGACAGAGAGCGACCGTGTCCTATCTGAGGCTGTTTGAAATAACATTTTCTCTTTGTGAGAGAACCGAATTTTTTCAATTAAAACAAAATAAAAGTATCAAAAAAGCTATTGACGGGTTAAGATTGTGCATAATGAGACGATTATTTTGATATCCAACACGGAAGTAAAATAATTAAAAGTAGTTTAAATATGCTTCAAAAAGACTTTGAAACACATTTTAGCGTAAAATTGTTTACATAAAATTAGCAAAATAAATCCAACTTTCGGGTATAAAATTAATAATTTTGTTTGTATATTCAATTTAGAAATAAGAAAAAAGTTTTTATGCAATGATTGATTACATGCAATTAATTAGATTAAATGTTTTTTAAAAGAACATCAATAAGTTAAAAATAAAACAAGAATTAAAGCGGCTGTGTTTTATTTATTTTTTTTTTAACAAAAGTTACAAAGTCACTCAAAGTATTTTATGGATTAAATAAGTGTTCGCAAAATAAATAAATTAATTAATTAACTAATAAATCAAACCAAAGAATAATTAAATAATTAATTTTAAAAATTGATAGATAAATATTCTTTAAAGCAATGATTAATTAATTTTTAATAGTTATTTCAGAGTTATAAAAGAACACAATAAGTCTCTTAACAAATTAAAAAAATACTACTATGTGTTTAAAATAATGTTCAAAAATTTCTTAGGTAAGTAACTCTGTGTACTTAATTGATAATCCCACATCTTAAGTAACCGTACAGTGCTCTGGGAGTGTGTAAACTTCTTCTTTTTGCTTCAATGAACATATACAGGGGCGTACTGGGACATATACTGGGGTTTACCGTAGTTGTCTGTAGGAAACAGTAGCCATACAGTGGCCTACTGTATGTAACTGTGGCATGCTGGGGATAAATACAGTGGCATACAGAGATTTACTGTGTATACAGAGCTAGCATACCGTAGCATACTGTAGATATACCGTAGATTACTGTGAAAATGCTGTAGGATACAGAGAAAGACAGTGGATTTTCATACGGACAGGGGTTTTAAAAGCCAGTAGTGGATCAGTACTTATCGCAAAAATAATATTAATAGAATGCTGAACAAGTTCAATGCACTTCCTATTTTTGTTTACAATTTGAGGAAACATGCTGGACTATGCATTTTTACCCGATTTTAACGATAGATTATACATACCGTATATACTCGCCTATAAGTCGGTCCGCCTATAAGTCGGTTGTATTTTTTGATGTTATTTGCGCGGGATTTGCTATTGACCCGCTTATAAGTCGGTACAGTTTTTTTTCCAAAATCTGGTGACAATTTCAAGTAAATCCATTGATGTTTTAACCTGGTTTCAATTAATAATTCTCGAAAAGATAATGATATCTTATCTTAAATTATTTTAAAAAAGGCAACGCTCGCTTAAAAAACAAATAAAATCATTACAACATATAAATACTTGTACTTCATATATGTAATCTAAGAATACATAAATTATCTTATATATCCAGTCTTTTTCTTTGATAATCGTCGGAAATGCAAATAAGATACTACCTTTGAGCCTCTAGAAAAATACCAATCTCTTTATGACTCGCCTGTAAGTCGGACATAGACTTTTAGACCAATATTTAACTCCAAAAATACTGACTTATAGGCAGGTATATACGGTACACACAATCATTAGTAAAAGGCGAAGATCATTTAAAATATGAACAATTTAGCTATTTTTTTTTCTAACAATCCGACGTTAATTTCAACATATTTCTAATCTTACTGCCCTATTTACAATATCTTTTTTTCAAATTTAACAAACGCCTGGTCCTTGATATGTTTATAATTCGCAATATTGTTTTATGCCGAATACATGATCCTGTTAGGCTAAAACTGAAGTGGGAGTAGGAACAGGACAACGACAAATAATTTTGAAGGAGAATTGTCGTTTATTAAATGTTAATAAATATATAACAAAGGCAGTTCAGGGAAGATTTTGAAATGTTGTCTGTAAAGAGACGGATGAAATTGCCTTAAGGAATAACTGTCTATAATTTTTTAGCTTCATGATGTGATCAATTGAGTGGCTTGCGTGCTTATTTGCATAAGCGCCGAAGTTGTCAAGCAAGTTGCCTTTAAATTTGTTTATAATGTAAATAGGCACAGAAAAGGAACAATGATGAAATGCAACATCTCTCTCTCTCTCTCTCTAGATCTCTCTCTCTCTCTCTAGATCTCTCTCTAGATCTCTCTCTCTCTCTTAAAAAAACTAGATTTATGCTAATTTAAAAAAAGAAAAAAAATACAAAAACGAAAAGGAAAGGGTTCATTGAAAAAATATTAAACGTGAGATATTTATTATTTCCTGTCAAAAGATAAACGAGTAAGAATTGACCTTTTTAAAGATTTATTTAACATATTCTCTTTACAAATTCAAATTAAAGAAATTTAATTAGTCTAAATAAATCAAAATGCACAATAGCATCATTTATTTAATTTCTGAAGTCAATGTCAAAGGCATATCTATAAAACGCATGTAAAGCTCATTTTCTATTCAAAAAGAGCATGATAATCAATATATTTCTTTGCTTGTTGGGGTGTTTGACGGTGAATGCAGTACGAATAAAGCTTGGGGATGTTGTTCAAGGTAAGAAATAAAGTCATTTTAAGAATAATTATGAAATTTTTTGACAATAACTTAGTTGTTAAGAGTTATTTTGCAAGAAAACTTACATTCAGTCTTATAGAATGTTATAAGATATACCGTTATATATTATCTTGTTCTCGTGATTGACAAACGCAGTTCTCATAACTCTAAATACAACACTGAGAATTAACAGGATTCCATTTGTTATATTCATTAAAAAATTAAGTACACACCATTTACGGGACAAAAAAAATTGTCTTACGAAGTATTGATGAACATAAGTGTATGTTTAGTTTTTTATATACGTATCTCATCAGGAATTGGATTCAGTAGACCAATATTTTATAGAATAGGGGACTGATTAATGTCAATTACGGGTATCAAAATATTTGCTTTTATTATTTATTTTTACTTTGCTTGTTTATTAACTCTCTCACTTACTACGACTTAATAAATTGTAGAAATCACAGAACCCACTTCGGTTCAAGTTTCAAATATAAACTGTTCAGACAACGGAGCACTTGTCTTCCGAGGAGGTGATCCAACTAGATTTTTTGGTTCACGATGTCTTCCTCCGCCAGGAACTGTAAAACAATGTGCAGTTTTCAGTAAGTCAAAACGAAATCTTATATGAAGGATACATACACTGCTTTATATAAAGACAAGGATCTTAGCATGATGAAGCAGTAATATTTATTTCTACTATAAATGCAGAGGAACTACTTTTTGATTGTAACGAAACAAATACTAACAATACACTTTCGGTCTTTTATTCTTAATGTTGTCACATTCATGTATATGTGCGGTTAAAAATACTCGAAGTGTAGTAAGGGTTTTATATATTTAAATAAAACGAAGAGATTCTATTGATATACGGTATATTGTAAACTATATATTTATTTAGTGAAAAATGGACATGAAGGTACAATTTTTCAACTAAAATAATACCTCTGTCAATTTTTCTCTAAATTGATAAATTAAAAATGTTTAATTTTATCTTTACATTTGATTAAGACGCTGGTGCACTTGAAGCGTTTGTGTGTCCACAGAAAAGCTACCTCAATGGACTCAGCTCTGAAGGAGGACAGAGAGGGCTCATATGCTGTTCAGGTTAGTACCTGTTAAAACTTTTATTTATTAATGAATACCTGTGCGAGAATTGATTCAAAAGTTAATTCACAGCCGCTTGTCAATGTTGTTAGCCAAAGTTTCATACAGTAATACCTACATATTTTTAGACTTTTGCCTCAAAATTTCATTCAGACATATGCAGTACTAAATTATAAAAAAAATCAAAATAAACAAAATATTTGGCTTCAACTATAGCCGCAAAGCAAGAATGTTCTTACGTCGTTATGTTTCTATTTGGCATTCGTTTTCAAGTGCAAATTGCAATTAAAATCTACGCAAAATTGAACAAATTTGGTAATACTTTTGTAGACACATTTCAGATAAAAAAAGAAGTATCTTATTTCCAAAGTTCTTGTGTTGCTTATATGCGCAAATATCACAAAAAACAATGTATGGTAAAGTAAATCTGGATCCTAACTAAATATTTTTCTACTTTTGCCCCTGAATCATATCTGTACTTATAATGTAAAAATGACATAGGAGCTATGATATCGCTGTAAAATGTCTTCAGGATTCAAATCTCAAACACGTCTGAAATGGGTAGATGTTAAATTTATGCAAACTGTTTTCTGTAAAAAAGATGACACGAATTGTTTTAATAAGTATAGGACAATAAGTTGGAGAGTCATAATTAGGAATCCTGTATATATATTTGTATATAGTGAAATTCCATCATTACAATTACTTGAATTTCCCTTTCCAGTAATTAAATACAAATGTTAATGCGCCTCCTTTATTTTCATAGTGTTTGGAATTTCCTACAATGACAAAGAATGTGGAAGATGGTTTCGAACGCAACAAAACTTTGTATCACCATTTGGGACCGGATATTTAGTTACCGGAAGTCAACCAATTCCAGACGGGTAGGTACAACACACATTTTGATGTAAACGATTTTTTAACTGAAAAAATATAACATTAATATCAAGGTTTAGAATTTGAATGATTGAATAAAATACATTTTCTTTTAAATTTCAGAATGGGAGGTTATCTTGGTTTTGTCATCAGGGAATGCCTATACAGAAAAAGTCACGACAAGTTTAATTATCACAAACATATCTATTTTTCGAAATAAAAAATCTTATTTTTTCATATGCATCATATTAAAATCAGTTTTCAAACAGCAGCATTGATCTTCTGTTTTACAATATACATGTAAGTAAACCTTATAAAGCTGAAATAATTTATGTATATAGAGCTAGAAGGATACAGTCCACCAAGTTTTGTTTCACTAATGGCAGTTCTTATCTTTTTTTCATGTAACTGCATCCCTTTTTTTTCTTTCAATTAGAAAACCTTCAAATTGTAAGCTCTTCGCCTTCCCTGTAACTGGTCCAAATCTTTGAACCAATTCCAATTAGTATACTCTACCAAAATATGACGGCATATAGTATCTCTGCCCTTGTGCCTTTAATATCGTTTTATTTTAAATGTTTTTCGAGGAAAAAGCTTCATAAGATTGTTTTTTTAATATCAGATATCAACATTGTTTTCCAATCACATCTCGATTCAAACCATTCAGGTTAATTTGAAATAAATGTAGTACGCAGCATCTGTTTTTTTTTTATTTGGAGGGTTTAGTTACTACAGATAACAAGGGCAAATCAATTATGAACCAATTTCTTTGACAACCGAGATTACTTCAGCTTTTTTCATCCTCAACTGAATATGTATGTAATAATGAAACAATGTGGGTTATTGACAGATAAGTTTATGTTCCAGGGATGTCAATACCGTTGTTTGACTCTTTCATTTCGAAAATTCAATCCTAGTTATAGGGCATTATAGGCAATAAAAATCTATCATATGAAAGAGATATTATTTTTAGACTAGTAAATGCATCGACAACATGAGTTTAATTGAATTATTTTGAATATCATATCTGGATGGACTCGTTTTGTTCCTCCCTTCGCCTGATGTGCCATTGCATGTGCATGACATTATATTGAAATGCTACGACTCATTCATATACTGTTATTGATTTACAAATGACAATTAAATTTAATTAATTTGTTCCTCGACTGATTCCTAAGACAGTCATTGCAAATAATTAACATAAGGAAGTCTTAAATTTCATTTGATGAATTCATTAACACACTGAATTTGAACCCGGTCATTTAAAGCTTTCTTTTTTTAATTCTATTCTTTGTCTTAACTTTCATTCCATTTTCTAGACCAACTAAAGTTTATTGTGTCGGTAAAATTTTACAATTTATCGATTCTGAAAATTTACCCACTCTTATACTCGAGAAAAAAATGTTCCCAGTTGTAAGTTGGTTTCGAATTTTGCTGGCATGAGTACAATAAACAATTAGTTCAAATCATAAAATGCTTTGAATGTGTTTTATCAAGTGTACTTTAATCGACAATTTTGGTCATTGTACTGCCAAATCTTGTAAATGGAGATGTAAATGAAAATAAATGATAACAAAAATCTTGAAAATAGTCCAGAAATCATTCTGATGTTACACTGTACATAATTTTCTAAAACAAAAAAAAAATATTCCATTTTAGAGATATATTCATCTGTACTCAGAGGTTGGTGGTTAAATCAATCAAATAGAAATATCTCGTCCATCGTTGTAACTGTTTTAATGAATTTGCTGCCGAATGAGATCAAACGCTGAAGGGTAAATATTTTAAAATTATTTCCATTTAGAAGTACCAGCTTGGGTACCGTATATACTCGCCTATAAGTCGGTATTTTGGGAGTTAAATATTGGTCTAAAAGTCTATGTCCGACTTATAGGCGAGTCATAAAGATATTGGTATTTTTCTGGAGGCTAAAAGGTAGTATCTTATTTGCATTTCCGACGATTATCAAAGACAATGTCTGGATATATAAGATAATTTATATATTCTTAGGTTATATATATAAAGTACAAGTATTTATATGTTGTAATGATTTTATTTGTTTTTTAAGCGAGCGTTGCCTTTTTTAAAATAATTTAAGATAAGATATCATTATCTTTTCGAGAATTATTAATTGAAACCAGGTTAAAACATCAATGGATTTACTTGAAATTGTCACCAGATTTCGGCAAAAAATTGCACCGACTTATAAGCGGGTCAATAGCAAATCCCACCAAAACAACGTCAAAAAATACAACCGACTTATAGGCGGACCGACTTATAGGCGAGTATATACGGTAGTTCTGAATATTTATTTCATGAAGTTGGTGTCGCCTGCGTGGCGCAGTGGTTAGAGCGTCTGCTCTAGAGTAGCGAAGTAAGGAGTTGATCCTTACATCGCGGGTTCGAATCCCAGTGTGGGACGTGGTGACCGGTCCTTTGGATGAGACCGTATAAACCGAGGTCCCATGTTGCAGTAGGTTCTGACACTAAAAAGATCCCTTCCTGTTTAATAGCCCTGAGTGCCGAGTATAGGCCAAAATATGCAGCTCTCCACCGGCAAGTGGTGGCGTCTCCATATGAGTGAAAAATTCTAGAGAAGGACGTTATCCCAGATAGCAGAATGTTATTGGACCTTTGTTGGGCCAACAATGCTCCTTATGTTGGACCACCGTTTGCATTCAACATTGGGCCATCGGTAATTTGCTCATCGGCCCTTAATCAAACCAACTTGTTGGCTCATTATTGGGCCAATGCAACAGTTAATATTGGGCCACTGTTGGGCCGATGTATTATTTCAATATTGGGCAAACGTCATTTTTGTACAATTGGGCCATTGTAAGCTATTAATGTTGGGCCAACGGTAATTTGCTCATCGGCCCTTAATCAAACCAACTTGTTGGCTTTTTGTTGGGCCAATGTATCAGTTAATATTAGGCCACTGTTGGGCCAATGTATTTTTTTCAATGTTGGGCAAACGTCATTTTTGTACAGTTGTGCCATTGTAAGCAATTAATGTTGGGCCAACGGTAATTTGCTCATCGGCCTTAAATAAACCAACTTGTTGGCTTTTTGTTGGGCCAATGTAACAGTTAATATTAGGCCACTGTTGGGCCAATGTATTTTTTTCAATGTTGGGCAAACGCCATTTTTGTACAGTTTTGTTAGCAATTAATGTTGGGCCAACGGTAATGTAAATAGAACAGATTTTGCTCATAGGCCCTTAATCAGACCAACTTGTTTGCTTATTGTTGTACCAACGAACGGATATTATTGAGCCATTGTTGGGCCACTTATTCTTTCAATATTAGGAAGACATCAATTTTAGGCCAACGTTGGTTTGTATCTTATTGGCTCTCCATCATGACAACTCATTTGCTCTTGATTGCTGGCCATTTGTCCTCAAAATTGACAAACAAATATATACAATAAGGTTGTACTAGTTTTGTAGTACAGTTTAATGGTAAAAGTCCTTTAATACTATCTATATATGCTATATATGCTAGATTATTAGTTTAATACATATTCTCAATACTAGTATCTCATAGAATTGCCATCAACAAGCATTGCATTGTAAGTAGCTCTACATTAATTAAAAAACTGATGAAAAAGAAATCAAAATATAAAATTAAATTACAACATACTATAATTTTATTGCTCAGTGCATGAAGAAAACATTTAAGAACTAAAAGTTGGTCCTCACTTCAAGCGATACATGTAGGGTTACATGACTGTATACTCCCTCTCTGCTGTAAATTGATGCAAAAGTTAAGTAAATTACAAGTATCAATAAGCACGTCTAACAAATAATCCAAACCCTCATGTTCTTAAAATAATACTAAAATGAATCCCGTCATTTTGATTACTTACACAAAAATGTTTCTGGCATCTGCATCGTGTTTGTAACCGACAAAAAGACACAGAAAAGGGTAGAACTACAGGTATGTCACACTATATTACAGAAAAAAAGTTAGGCACTGCCATTTTCCATCTGATCCCTCTCCTAAGTCTTCTCTTCTCTCTCCCGAGTCTCCTCCTCCCCCTTCTTTTCTTCTTTGTCTGTTTCTCCCTCCCCCATATCCCTGTCCATGGCATACCTTAGCTATTCTTTGATTGTGTTCTCAATGTCTTTTTAGAATCTCCAGTAGCACTAAAATTGTAGTATTTGGTACTTAATACATTTGTTACTTTTTCAGTAAAAAGTAAACATACGATTAAATTTATAAGTATATCACTATATGTTTAAGCTGTCAATTAAGGAATAACCGTCTTTTTTATTTCATGGTGTGATTAAGTGATAAGCTTGCGTGATGAAGGCATTTATGCATAACATTTCTACGCTTGATCATCATCATCACAACGATTTTGATTCAATGTTGCCCCATATAAAATTCATGTATTGAAAATTTGTCGTTACACTGAACAAATTTTAAATGAAAGAACCCAATTCATGTTTAGTACTGAATTAATTTTGTTTTAACTTCAACAAGTTCAACATTTTCAAAATGTTTGATCATGTACTTGACGTTAAGTGTATATAAGTGAATTAAGTGGTAGACTTCTGAAATGCATTCTATTAGACACAGATTTCAATCTAAATAAGGGGCAAATTATTCATTGTTTAAACCGTATCAAAACACGTTTGTTATTTTATACTTTCATTTATTTTTCTTGTATAGAAACAAAAACATTTAATCACTGATAATTTATTTTGTTTTGATAAATTATAAGAATTTTAAATTTATTTTAGCTAGCCTGTATTTTCAAGTAGGATTGGTTGTAGATTTATTTCTGATTGTAGAGACAATCAGATTTGTTAATATACAGATTTGTAACAATTAAATGTTTATACACATTGGCCCAATGTTGGTCCAATATATTGGGCCAACATTGGGCCAAGGAAGAAAATGACACTGGACCAACGTCATTTGCCAACATCGGCCCAATGTTCTTGTTGACGTTTCGCCAACAATGTCGCATTCATTGGGCCGATGTTGGTGCAACGTTGGGCCAATATCTGTAGAAAAAACACTCTACATTGGGCCAACGTTGGCCCAACATATTGGGCTAACATTGGGCCGATGAGCAAACTTAAATTGGGTCAATGTCATTTGCCAACATTGGCCCGATGTAACCAATTACATTGGCCCAACGTTGGCCCAATGTTAGCATTCTATCTGGGGTACAGTGTTGACCCAACAGCACCTGGCCTCTGCACTTCCCCGTGTCTGATTTACACAGATTTGTACATAATATCGTTTAAAAACTAAACGTTAATTCAGCTGTGCCGAGGCAAACATATTATAAATACTTACAAAGTGGTTGCAGATATATGCAAGGTATCAGTCTCATTGCGCTCGCTCGTGTCAGATAAAAAATGGCGCGGATATTACAAGTAGCCCGGTTGTTGTCTACCCATGATGCTCATCAGATTCATGGTATATTGGGCCAACGTAGGGCCGATGCCAATCCCCAAACAAACATTTTCATGATAATAGTTTTATGATATCATGTCAACAGTTAGCCCAACATTAGCGCACCATTATACATAACTAGCTATCAATATTCCATGTTGGGCCATTGTTGGCCCAATCAAGGTAACCCAACAGAATAGAAACATAATGTAAGATTTGGCAAACGATGTTCTGCTATCTGGGAATTATTACAAATAAATAAGCATAAACACAATTTCAAAAAATAGAATAAAACACTCTTTGGTGCTGTGATCACTTAAGTGCAAATATATAAATTAAAATTTTGAAAATATATCTAAACAAAAGCAGGCATCCAATGATAAGCATGGACAAAGAAAGTCTTCTTAATTATTTCAGAATGTGCCAATGTTGTCCAAACGTAAAGCTCAGAAGCTAATTATAAAATTAACACCATCAATTAGCTGGCAGTATAATAATTGGACCAACGTTGGCCCAATATAAATATCTCATCTTTAAAACACCTAAACAAAATAACACTCTTGTGTATTACTAATATTGTGCCAACATTGGGCCAACATAATACTACCAACTTGATAAGACATTTTCTTTAAGGGTGTATTACAAATATTGTGCCAACATTGGGTCAACATAATACTACCAACTTGATAAGACACTTTCTTTAAGGGTGTATTACAAACATTGTGCCAATATTGGGCCAACAAAATACTACCAAGTTGATAAGACATTTTCTTTAAGGGGGTATTACTAACATTGGTCCAACGTTGGGCCAACATATTACTACCAACTTGATAAGACACATTCTTTAAGGGTGTATTACAAACAATAGGCCAACGTTGGGCCAACATAATACTACCAACTTGATAAGACACGTTCTTTAAGGGTGTATTACAAACAATGGGCCAACGTTGGGCCAACATATTAATACCAACTTTATAAAACACATTCTTTAAGGGTGAATGACAAACAATGGGCGAACGTTGGGCCAACATTTTACTACCAACTTGATAAGACACATTCTTTTAGGGTGTATTACAAACAATGGGCTAACGTTTGGCCAACATACTACTACCAACTTGATGGGACACATTCATAAATGGTGTATTACAAACAATGGGCCAACGTTGGGTCAACATATTACTACCAACTTGATAGGACACGTTCTTTAAGGGCGTATAACTAACAATGGGCCAACATTGGGCCAACATATTACTACCAACTTGATAAGACACATTCCTTAAGGGTGTATTACACACATCGGGCCAACGATGCCCCAACATACTACTACCAACTTGTATATACACTTTTCTTTAAGGGTGTATTTTAAACATTGGTCCAACGTTGGGCCAACATATTACTACCAACCTGATAAGACACATTCTTTAAGGATGTATTACAAACAATGGGCCAACGTTGGGCCAACATAATACTACCAACTTAATGGGACACGTTCTCTAAGGGTGTATTAAAAACAATGGGCCAACGTTGGGCCAACATATTACTACCAACTTTATAAAACACATTCTTTAAGGGTGTATAACAAACAATGGGCCAACGTTGGGCCAATATACTACTACCAACTTGTAAATACACTTTTCTTTAAGGTCGTATTATAAACATTTGTCCAACGTTGGACCAACACCAGGATCCATCCTTCCTTGGAAACTAAAGTGAATGGAAGTTGCTTACGTTGGACCAACATTGGGCCAACATAGGAATTCTGTCATGATCGAGAAGGTTGACTTGGTAACATTGGTCCAACCTTGGCCCAACGTTGTTCCTCCAACGCCAACCATACAACCTTTAACACATGTTGGCCCAACATAGTCATGCTATCTGGGTAAACAATCAGTACAATCAATCAATCAACGATCGATCATCGATTAAAAAACTTTATAACTTTGCCTGTATTGATGACTCTGTCTACTTGAAAACAACCCAGTGCACCTTTTGGGATCGTCAAGTATGATTTTTTTCATAAATGTCAGTCAATGAATACATAGATGTAAATATTCAATGGATTAGTTATCTGATGTACTTTCAACACATACACATGCATATGTGTACCTTGAAAGTTGCCACTGTTATCATTATACCCCCTGAAGTTATTGTATAGTTTCATAGCTTTTAAAAGCCAGCATATTCTATTCATACTTACCATATTTTAAAAGTGAATTGGATTAAAATTGTTTCATAATGTAGAATACTACTTCTATATATATTGAGTTGAATTTATTTTTGATGAAGCTATGCAAACAATGTAGAATTATAAAGGAACAAAAAGAAATTATCAAAAAATATTTTGTCATAATGAAGTCATTACAGATGTACACTTTGATTTTTTATTGCAAGTATTTCTTTTTACCTTTAATATTGTGATGATGCAATCGTCTGTCACAATCAGCTTTTGGATCAATCGCCAGTCTTATCAGCTTTAGGGTTCTCGGACTTAATAAAAAAGCAGCACGGTAACACTGAACTCAAGTTGTTGAATGCATCTATAGGCCACAAAAACAAACATTTGTCGTTAAGTTCATGAAAGAATCGACTTGATAACGATCTCAACATACAAAAACGCCAAACTGGGTTTCTACTTTCACTTTTAAATCAGTACGTAACAAAAAGAAAACAAAGTAATTCCTTTAGCCTATAATGTAAATTGTAATGTTTACATCCATTCAGAAACAAATTTATCCAAAATTACTTACAGATCACTAACGTTATTTAGGTTTACGAAATGCATTAATTTAACAATTACAAGTGTTGAGAGTATTACAGAGATGAGTTCATACGAACCTGTAACGTAATGAAAGGATATATTTAAACAATATGAAATAAAGGTCTTTAAAAAATTGTTAGGAGATTAGTCTACTTACTTTTTCCAACACCCAGCACTTCTGCTGCAGCAGTGACGTCAAACATGACGTACACTTTCATCCGATAGAAGTCAAAACCGGTCCGGGAAAAATACGGATTTTTTTATTTGACTCAAGTAATAAACCCAAACCCAAAAGATTTGAAATAAAAAGCAAATTAATTTATTCTTTATCAATTTTGTCTGGAATATGCATTATTACTGAAAAAGGAAATTGTGAAAGTTTTTTTTTTTAAAATAAGGGAAAAGGGGGGGGGGGGTGTTAAACAGAGTAGAACTTAACATTGTTATTGCTAACAAATTCTTTTGAAATTGATGTACATTTAAATTACTATTGAGATATATTATTGAAATTGCAAATTAACTTGAGACAAGGGCAAATTAGTGAATTGTGTTTCATATGATTCTCATATGATCACTGTTTCATATGATTCTCATATGATCACTGTCAAAATATTCATATGATTTTTACCTGAGTATAACAAGGGCAAATTAGTGAATATGGTTTCATGTGATTCTCATATGACCAGTTTCATATGATTCTCATATGAGCACTGCCGAAATATACATATGATTCTCATGTGTTGGACCTTTCATATGAGAATCATATGTATATTACTTCATATGATTAACATATGTATGATCATATGATTCTCATATGATTGGCCACATATGATTCTCATATGATCGTATATACATATGATTCTCATATGATCCACATATGATCTTCATATGAAAGTCAATGCATATGTGGATCATATGTGGCTAAATTGCCTATATGTATGACTTGTTATGCCATAAGAATAATAAATTATATTCATTTTACTCGTTTATCTATTGTATTATTTACAGGCGTCAGTCATAACAGATCTGCTGAAAGTAACAGTTGAAATCATCTTCTGATATACAAAATAGCCAAACAGAGAGACTAAATTTCATCAAAATTTGTTAATGTATAGGAATATTTATGATAGAGATAAAAAAAGAATTAGAACAAGATTCCTTCCTGGTGCTTATTGTTTCAACGATGCGAAGTAAGTATGCACAATGCTAATTGGTTTGTAATCAAATACAAAGTCTGAGAGTTGTTTAAAGTCTTATATGAAAGCAAATTCTGACTCAATTACCTATATTTTTCAAATGTAATAATATAGTGTATATTATATACATATCTGCTGAAAGTTCTGCTACCAGGTATATTCTTTCTTACACACAATTCACTCTCAAGACCTTGCAATTCTTCAAGCTCAATTTTGTTTTGTGACATCCAATATAAATTTCATAGATATTAGTATATGTATAGTTCGTAGCCTCCTTTTTCTTGTCTTCAATGAAACATGTGGAGATAACGAACAGTATTCAAGATCAAAAGTCCATAAAACAATACAAAATAGGAGCAGAACAAACCGGGATCTCCAAAACAGCAGAGGTGGGTGCCATGGAGGAGTGAGCATCCCCTGATGACCGGTCACACCCGCCATGTGCTCCTTGTCATGATCGGGAAATAACGGGAAAATCCGACTTCAAATCAGTGTATAAATAATGGACTAACAACAAAAAAAAATCTTAATAGTAATGAACAGTTTCTTAACCCTAACTCAAACGCACTAGCCACTATTAAAATTTGCAGAAAGTATCTGATATTTAGTAGGTAGTACCTAAAAAATGTGCATTTGTTTATATTTGTACCCCCGGATGTACCAGTAGTTGACAGAATTTTGTTTCACAAGCATCAAGTTTGGTCATTGTCCTTTTCCGATTAGACTAACTAGTATTTTTTGTACTTCCTAGACAATAAGGTGTTACTCGTTGAAGTAGAATCTTGTTTTAACATTGTTGAATGTTAAATTGTAGGTAAGACCGATTCCTTATTAATCGTCAACCCCCAAATTTGGGAATCACACCAATTTCGGATACAGAATATTCATGAACACATCTAAAAAGCAACCATCACCCCTACTCTACCCCCCACATTTTTAATTAATCAAATTATTTTGAATTTGTTTTATGGATCGTTTTTTATGAATCACTTTTGTTTCAAGTGAAGTATGAAGTTGTATTTTACAGCATTATAACATCTGTGTGTTTTAACGATATTTTGACTGGGAGACATTGTTTTGTAATCATTTATTGAACTGCATTTCTGGTCAAGCTTTCTTTGATTATGGTATGTATCCCAGCCAAATTCTTTCGTTTTCCTTCGTGTTCTTTTTTATGGTTTACATTTTTCGTCATTTAGATAATTTTTTTTTACACATAAGATGCTTTCTCTTATGAATTTTAGAAACAAGAGAGCTGTTTTGTTACCTTGGACCACCAGTAAGATTTTATCAGAAACATTATTAGAAGCTTGATTAATAGTGAACGAGACGATCAATATGTTATTCTGATCTACTCGTGTTACATTTTAATTACTGTCATGATAGTATAAAAAGAGGGGCAGCTGATGTATGTGACTATATTGTGGATTAAGAAACAGAAATATTGCAATCTAACTACAAACATATAAGTGTTCACTTCAAATTAATATCTTAAATTTTTATTTTTGACAAATTACATTGAATAAGATTGTTATTTTTACTTTAACTGTCTTTGAATAGGACAACTTTGTTCAAAACGACACTCCTTGTTGTGTGCATAATTTTCATAGTGTATGCAAAGGAACGCCCACAAGACTTTCTGGAGAAATACAACAAGTACAATACAGTGTGTCAAGGAATGGGTTATATAACAACTAACTGTACGGCACGAGAAAAAGGTGTTAATTCACCCATAAATGTGGAGGTTTTACTTTGTGAAACGTCAGACAAAGAATTATGTAATATTTTTTATTTCCTTCATGCTAAATTACATTCATAATTATGTTAAATTACTGATCAAAATGTGAAACACTCGTATGATACTAATTTATAAATTGTACATTATCAAAGTCAAAATCTTTCAGGGAATATTTTTGTGAAATTGATTTTCATTGTTTCTGTTGAATATACAATTAAGTATTTGTCATTGAATAGGAATCATTGCCTTTCAATCACGAATATCAAGAACTAAGGTGAACCTTGCCAACTATGCTGCTGTTGTATTTGAAAAGGTAACTCTGAACGATGGAAATGCCTATGATGCTAGAACAGGTAAATTCACAGCACCTGAGGACGGTGTCTACTCATTCACTTGGACAATTCTTACCAAGGCTGGGAAGAAGTTTAACACAGAAATTGTCCACAATGGTAACATTAATGGTTACAATCATGCAGACGGCGTCTCAGGCAGTTCGAGCTACTCTTCCGGATCTTCGTCAGCTATAATAAAAATGAAGAAGAAAGATGAAGTCTGGATAAGAACACATGGTGGAGATGGGCAACATGCTTATGATGACTGGTCATCGTTTTCCGGATTAAAGTTGTAACGGACGGAAATGTTGTTAAAAATAAAAATATTTTTAATGTCAAAATATCTTATGATTTTTGATAGTTTAATCATCAAAAGATAATTGAAAAGAAAAAAAAGAGATAAAGATAATATTTGATTATCTGTAAAAGGATCATCTTAATCTCTGCATAACAAAATCCAAATGCTTATATCTCCAAAAATGCTTAAGCATGTTTAAACCTTTTCAAATTTCAGAAAAAAAGCATTCATGCAATTTTCTTTGGAAATCATTGTAAAAAAAAAATTTGTTCGACATCACCTGATTCACGGTAAAAAAAAATCGGTAGGTAGTTGGGGGGGGGGGGGATTTTGGTCCTAGATTAAAATCAGTATAAATAAATCCATGAATAGAAAGAAAAATAAAGTTATCGTTTTCTGATGGATGAAAAAGTTTTAAGTCAGGTCAGTTTTAGCCTTTTAAAAATGGCCAAAGATTGATAACATAAATCATGCCTCGCTGGACTCACCATGACTTGTGAAATAAATGAGAAATTAAGAATATAAAACGACCATCTTTAAAAAAGTTCTAAATATAGATGGAAGCTCCATATCTTTATTTGGCAAGAAAGATTCAATCTATTTATGAATTTAAAGATGAAGATCTGAAAACTGCACCAGAAAGAATTAAATGTTAAAAGATTATATTAAAGAATTGTATAAGAAACTCAAAAGGCAATTTGCGAGTCATATATCCTTCATTTTTTACTTAAATGGGATTTGAAATTCTTCAAAATCATATTTTAGCTTTTAAAACTTTTAACATCCCAGTCAACATAGTTGAGTTTGATCCATCATACCTACATTGGATACTTGTATCTAGACTTTGTAAAATCTTTACAAACAGAGATACATTACAAAGTCGAGCAAATGCTCCTCTTAACATATCCTTACTCCTTTCAAAAATATTAGCTGTTGCTAAGAAGAAACTTCAGATGCAATGTGCTACAGCATATTCTAGAGACTGCGTAAATCAGATTGAATTCTCAAAATCTCAAAAGTCAGGTGCACCAAAGCGTACGACTTTTTTCGAAATATAATCTATATAATCTATAAAATATAATCGATAAAATCTGCTAGAAATCCTTTCTCCTATGTAAACGACATTAAGAAATAATAATAAAAAAAAGATGAATATCCGCCATCTTGAATCGCCATTTTGACTTTTAACTTACAGCTGCGCTATCATTCAGTTGTAGAATTGTGAGATACAGAGAAAAAAAATACAAATTAGCAGTGTATGGATATTTGCAATTGTAAAATCCTGAACAAAGCAGAATATAGAACAATAGACAAATAAATCAGAGAAAATTCGAATTAAGTGTAGAAACGACTAAATTTTCTGAGTTAAACTAATAATGTTAGCATTCTATTATCATTTTTATATTTGTATTACACTCAGTAAGATATTCACACATTATTTCTCCATTTTGAACGATATTAAGAGAAAATTAGAAAAAATTGATGTCCGCCATTTTGAATCGCCATTTTGACCTCTTTAATGCCATTTTCATGAATGCCAGCATATTTTTTCGGATTCAGCATACTCAAAATAGGTTAAAAACTATGCTAGACCAAATAATAATTATTTGCCGTTAGAAGTATTTTTTTCTATAAATCGGACCAGACTATTGTGCCTTTAATATCGTTTTATTTTAAATGTTATTCAAGGAAAAAGGTTAATTAGATTGTTTTTTATATCAGATATCAACATTGATTCCCAATAACATGTCGATTCAAACATGAAATAAACGTAATCTGCAGCATCTGGGGTTTTTTTTTTATTTGGAGGGTTTAGTTACTACAAATAACAAGGACAAATTATGAACCAAATTGTATGATAAATGAGATTACTTCAGCTATTTTTATCCTCAACTGAATATGTATGTAATAATGAAAGAATGTGGGCTATTGACAGATAAGTTTATGTTCCAGGGATGTCAATACCGTTGTTTAACTCTTTCATTTCGAAAATTCAATCGTCGTTATAGGGTATTATAGGCAATAAAAATCTATCAATTGGTCTATATCTGTATAATACCAATTGTAAGGTATTAGTTTTATACTATTTATTTTGTACTATTATAATAGTATTAGAGATCACGAAAATGTAACCGGCTAACAGTAACTTTCTGGGAGTCGGTGTTTTTGCCCTGTTTACGGATTTGTTTTATACAGTGTATACTGTATATATATTTTGTTTGTCACAACCATTGTTCATTTCCAAACCTTTATGAAGCCCCCCTTTCAGTGATATATTTTGAATGTATATTGATGATTTCTGTGAATTATGTCCCCTTCTATCTGGATATTGCAAAAAAGACGTGGAAAATGTATAATGTATTTTGCTTATGTAATGGAAAAATAGGCTATATTCCTTATCAATGTGAGACAGTTAAAAATGAATGAAGAGGTACATTTTCTGTTCTTTCTCGCAATTTTAATTTTTTATATAGAAACACAAATTGTATTCTTATTTTTCAAAGAAAGCTGTTGCCATACAAATCAATTGATAAAAAATAGAGATTTTTTTCTTACAGAGTGAAGCCATAAATTTTATCGATGCTGAAAAATTCTTTTCTTGTTTTAAAATATTTTCCTATATTCTAAAAGATAAAATAAAATGTCATTGATAGTAATAAGCTAAAATATAATGGAAGAGGTCATTTATTCCATATAATCATGCTAATAGCATTTTTTATATTATTTTCTTGAAAAAAAAAATTGGAAGCTTTTTTATGAATTCACTTCGTTTATCAATCATAATTGTGACTCTTATATCGTGAACAATCACATTTAGAAGAAATTAGTGCGATGTACATGATTACATGTATAAGTGTATTAGATGAAATATATGGAGATAATGAACAGAATTCAAGATCTTTCAATAAAACATTTGGTCACCAATAATATAGTATTCAGATAATGCAACAAAAAGTAAATGATTACAAATTTATGAAATATTTTTTTTACGATACTTTGTTAAATACTATACCATATACAATCATGGCTGCCTTAACGTTTTTGATACGAGTAAAAGATGCTTCATACTTTTAGCTATTTAAGATTTTTATCTTGTATAATACCAAAACAGCTATGGGCTAGCCATCCTTGTCACACCTTTTTCTATAGCTAGAATCCATATTTCTATGCTTTCTTTTTATAATTAGACAACGCCAAAGACGAATGCGAGGGGATAATTTAAAAAAGAAATAATCTTTGGAACATCAGGTATATATATTTAATATATAGATTATGAAATTTTTTGAAATTATGAAAATATATTAGTTAATAAAAGAATATGAAGTTATAATGTATCTGACAAGTTAGTTTTCAGTTTCCGTTAGCTTTCTGTTAGTTTTCAGTTTTAGTCAATGTCTTTATTAAAACAACCGCATACATGTATGAAACATATGTGTTAGACACTGTAGCATCTTTTATTTGTAGTTAACAGGAAAATAAAGAAACAACTTATTGTTAATTTGAATGTTTTTGTTTGATTTAGTGCTGTTGTTATATCGAAATGTTGTAGCGAAGCTCACAAACTTTCCATATGCTTTAATAATTTAACTGAATTCTTTTTATAGCAATGAAAAAGAGAAATTATTTTTAGACTAGTAAATGTATCGATAACATGAGTTTAATTGAATTATTTTGAATATCATATCTGAGTGTATTTTATTTGTTTGGATGGACTCATTTTGTTCCTCCCTTAGTCCGATGTGCCACTGCATGTGCATGACATTATATAGAAACGCTACGACTCATTCATATACTGTTATTGATTTGCAAATGACAATAAAATTTAACTGATGAGTTCCTCGACTGATTCCTTAGACAGTCATTGCAAATAATTAACATAAGGAAGTCTTAAATTTCATTTGATGAATTCATTAACACACTGAATTTGAACTCGTGCATTTAAAGCTTTATTTTTTTAATTCTATTCTTTGTCTTAACTTTCATTTCATTTTCTAGACCAACTAAAAGTTATCGTGTCAGTAAGATTTGACAATTTATCGATTTTGAAAATTTACCCACTCTTATACTCGAGAAAAAAATGTTCCCAGTTGTAAGTTGGTTTCGAATTTTGTTGGCGTGAGTACAGTTAACAATTAGTTCAAATCATAAAATGCTTTGAATATGTTTTATCAAGTGTACTTTTCTCGACAATTTTGGTCATTTTACTGCCAAATCCTGTTAATTCGTATGCCTGTGTTCCCGATATGAATGGAGATATTAATAAAAATGAATGATTTAAAAAAATGATTATAAAACTCTTGAAAACAGTCAAGAAATCATTTTGATGTTACATTGTACATAATTTTGTAAAAACAAAACAAAAAAAAAAATATTCGATTTTAGTGATATATTCATGTGTATTCAGAGGCTGGCTGTTAAATCAATCGTCCATCGTTTTAAAAGTGTTTTAATGAATCTGTTGACGAATGAGATCAAACATTAAATGGTTAATATTTTAAATGATATCCATTAGAGGTACCAGCTTGGGTAGTTCTGAATATTTATTTCATAAAGTTGGTGTCTCCCGCGTGGCGCAGTGGTTAGAGCGTCTGCTCTGGAGTCGCGAGGTAAGGAATTGATCCGTAAGTCGCAGTTCGAATCCTACTGTGGGACGTGGAGACCGGTCCTTCGGATGAGACCGTATAAACCGAGTTTTCATGTCGCAGTAGGTGCTGACAGGAAAAAGATCCCTCACTGCTCAATGGCCCTGAGTGCCGAGTGTAGGTCAAAATTTGCAGCTCTTTACCGGCAAGTGGTGTCGTGAGTGAAAAATTCTCGAGAAGGAACGTTAAACAATATACAATCAATAAATCAACGATCGATCATCGATTAAAAACTTGATAACTTTGCCTGTATTGATGACTCTGTCTACTTGAGAATAACCCAGTGTACCTTTTGGGATCGTCATGTACATGTACTTTTTAAAATGTTACGCAAGGGATGCTCTCCGATAGTCCCGAAAATATTGCGACGACCTGTTATGCCATAAGAATAATAAATGATATTCATTTTACTCGTTTATCTATTGTATTATTTACAGGCGTCAATCATAACAGATCTGCTGAAAGTAACAAACAGTTGGAATCATCTTCTGATATACAAAATAGCCAGACAGAGAGACTAAATTTCATCAAAATTTGTTAATGTATAGGAATATCTATGATAGAGATAAAAAAGAATTAGAACAAGATTCTTTCGTGGTGCTTATTGTTCCAACGATGCTAAGTAAGTGTGCAAAATGATAATTTGTTTGTTATCAAATACAAAGTCTGAGAGTTGTTTAAAAGTCTTACATGTATATAAAAGCAAATTCTGACCCAATTGTCTATTTTTTTCAAATGTAATAAAATAGTGTATATTATATACATACATGTATTTGTAGAAAGTTCTGCTACCAGGTATATTCTTTCTTGAAAAAAAAAACAATTCACTCTCAAAACCTTGCAATTCTTCAAGCTCAATTTTGTTTTGTGACATCCAATATAAATTTCATAGATATTAGTATATGTATAGTTCGTAGCCTCCTTTTTCTTGTCTTCAATGAAACATGTGGAGATAACGAACAGTATTCAAGATCAAAAGTCCATAAAACAATACAAAATAGGAGCAGAACAAACCGGGATCTCCAAAACAGCAGAGGTGGGTGCCATGGAGGAGTGAGCATCCCCTGATGACCGGTCACACCCGCCATGTGCTCCTTGTCATGATCGGGAAATAACGGGAAAATCCGACTTCAAATCAGTGTATAAATAATGGACTAACAACAAAAAAAAATCTTAATAGTAATGAACAGTTTCTTAACCCTAACTCAAACGCACTAGCCACTATTAAAATTTGCAGAAAGTATCTGATATTTAGTAGGTAGTACCTAAAAAGTGTGCATTTGTTTATATTTGTACCCCCGGATGTACCAGTAGTTGACAGAATTCACAAGCATCAAGTTTGGTCATTGTCCTTTTCCGATTAGACTAAATAGTATTTTTTGTACTTCCTAGACAATAAGGTGTTACTCGTTGAAGTAGAATATTGTTTTAACATTGTTGAATGTTAAATTGTAGGTAAGACCGATTCCTTATTAATCGTCAACCCCCAAATTTGGGAATCACACCAATTTCGGATACAGAATATTCATGAACACATCTAAAAAGCAACCATCACCCCTACTCTACCCCCCATATTTTTAATTAATCAAATTATTTTGAATTTGTTTTATGGATCGTTTTTTATGAATCACTTTTGTTTCAAGTGAAGTATGAAGTTGTATTTTACAGCATTATAACATCTGTGTGTTTTAACGATATTTTGACTGGGAGACACTGTTTTGTAATCATTTATTGAACTGCATTTCTGGTCAAGCTTTCTATGATTATGGTATGTATCCCAGCCAAATTCTTTCGTTTTCCTTCGTGTTCTTTTTTATGGTTTACATTTTTCGTCATTAAAATAATTTTTTTTTACACATAAGATGTTTTTTCTTTTGAATTTTAGAAACAAGAGAGCTGTTTTGTTACCTTGGATCACCAGTAAGATTTTATCAGAAACATTATTAGAAGCTTGATTAATAGTGAACGAGACGATCAATATGTTATTCCGATCTACTCGTGTTACATTTTAATTACTGTCATGATAGTATATAAAAAGGTGCAGCTGATATATATGACTATATTGTGGATTAAGAAACAATATTGAAATCTTACTACAAGCATGTAAGTGTTCACTACAAATTTATCTTATTATTTTAATTTTTGACAAATTGCATTGAATAAAAGGTTAGTTTTACTTTTACTGTCTTTGAATAGGACAACATTGTTCAAAACGGCACTCCTTGTTGTGTGCATGATTTTCGTGGTGTATGCAAAGGAACGCCCACAAGACAAGTACAATACAGTGTGTCAAGGAATGGGTTATATAACAACTAACTGTACAGCAGGAGAAAAAGGTATAAATTCACCCATAAATGTGGAGGTTTTCCTATGTGAAACGTCAGACAAAGAATTATGTAATATTTTTGATTTCCTTCATGCTAGATTACATTCATAATCATGTTAAACTACTGATCAAAATGTGAAACACTCGTATGATACTAATTTATAAATTGTACATTATCAAAGTCAAAATCTTTCAGGGAATATTTTTGTGAAATTGATTTTCATTGTTTTTGTTGAATATACAATTAAGTATTTGTCATTCATGTTTTTGAATAGGAATCATTGCCTTTCAATCACGAATATCAAGAACTAAGGTGAACCTTGCCAACTATGCTGCTGTTGTATTTGAAAAGGTAACTCTGAACGATGGAAATGCCTATGATGCTAGAACAGGTAAATTCACAGCACCTGAGGACGGTGTCTACTCATTCACTTGGACAATTCTTACCAAAGCTGGGAAGAAGTTTAACACAGAAATTGTTAGCAACAGTAATATTATTGGTTAAAATCATGCAGACGGCGCCTCAGGCAGTTCAAGCTACTCTTCCGGATCTTCGTCAGCTATAATAAAAATGAAGAAGAATGATAAAGTTTGGATAAGAACACATGGTGGAGATGGGCAACATGCTTATGATGACTGGTCATCGTTTTCCGGATTAAAGTTGTAACGGAAGAAAATGTTGTTTAAAATAAAAATATTTTTAATGTCAAAATATCTTATGATTTTTGATAGTTTAATTATCAAAAGATAATTGAAAAGAAAAAAAAGATATATAGATAATATTTGATTATCTGTAAAAGGGTCATCTTAATCTCTTCGTAACAAAATACAAATTGTTATATCTCTAAAAATGCTTAAGCATGTTTAAACCTCTTCAAATTTCAGAAAAAAAGCATTCATGCAATTTTCTTTGGAAATCATTGTAAAAACAATAATAATTTTTGTTTGACATCTCCTGATTCACGGTAAAAAAAATCGGTAGGTAGTTGGGGGGGGGGTTTGGTTCTAGAAAAAATCAGTATAAATAAATCCATGAATAGAAATAAAAATAAAATTATCGTTTTCTGATGGATGAAAAAGTTTTAAGTTAGGTCAGTTTTAGCCTTTTAAAAGTGGTCAAAGATTGATAACATAAATCATGCAAACGGTTCCTCGCTGGACTCACCATGACTTGTGAAATAAATGAAAAATTAAGAATATAAAACGACCATCTTTAAAAAAAGTTCTAAATATAGATGGAAGCTCCATATCTTTATTTGGCAAGAAAGATTCAACTATTTATGAATTCTAAAGATGAAGATCTGAAAACTGCACCAGAATGAATTAAATGTTAAAATATTATATTAAAGAATTGTATAAGAAACTCAAAAAGTAATTTGCAAATCATATATTTTTCATTTTCCACTTAAATGGAATTTGAAATTCTTCAAAATCATATTTTAGCTTTTAAAACTTTTAATGTCCCAGTCAACATAGTTGAGTTCGATCCATCATACCTATATTGGATACTTGTACCTAGACTTTATAAAATCTTTACAAACAGAGATACATTACAAAGTCGAGCAAATGCTCCTCTAAACATATCCTTACTCCTTTAAAAAATATTAGCTCTTGCTAAGAAGAAACTTCAGATGCAATATGCTACAGCATATTCTAGAGACTGCGTAAAATCAGATTGAATTCTCAAAATCTCAAAAGTCAGGTGCACCAAAGCGTACGACTTTTTTCGAAATATGATTTTTCAGATTTCTAATCGAAAACAGTTTTTAGTTCCCAGCATGTGCAGCTCATGATCGCTATTTCTTTTCAAAATTAATCTGTCCACATTTAGCAGAAATGAGTCAAATGATCCATTAATAAATGGTGAATGATATCCAATATTATTCCAAACCAAATCAAGTTGCGTATGTGGACGTTGTGGGGTTAGTAGTGGGAAGGTACACCCCTGTACATGTACACCGAAAATTAAGAAATGTATAGATATGTCAACCCTTGTATGCTACGAAACTCATGTTAACTACGAGTATTGCAAGTTTTTGTCATTCCCCCTCCCCCGCCCCGCCGAACAAACACCACAAAGACCCTCACAATCAAAGAACTCGTCATCCTCCATCTGTCCCTTTCGTTCATGTACGTGAATTATAACCCATCTCTTTGTTTATATTTTTTCAATGAAACATACATGTATAACGAACAGTATTCAAGATCAAAATCCCGTAAAACAAAGCAAAATAGGAGCAGAGCAAACACAGACCTCCAAAACATCAGAGGTGGGATCAGGTGCCATGAAGGAGTGAGCAAAACCTGCGGACCGGTCACACCCGCCATACAGTATGCTTCTTGTCATGATCAGGAAATAACGGGAAAAATCCGTCGTCAATTCAGTGTATAAATAATAAACAATTAGTTTGAAAAACGTCAGTCAGCATATTACTCAATGATAAAATGTTTTGCTGACAAGGTCATTGTGTCGACCATACAATGAATTTGCAAAAAAGAATAACTAGACACATTAGCAGTTTTGACTAGTTTATAAAAGAAAAAAAATGATTCCGTTTGTCACTCTTTTTCGAAAAAGACAATAAAGACACTAATATATTACACCGTACCTCTCAACCAAAATAACTGCAAGAACATTTTTTTAATCAAAGACATAAAGATTTGACAAAAAGATGTCTGTGTTTTGTATCTCTGTGTAATTTGACTTACTTGACTGTATAACATACCCATAAAAATTAGAAATTATAGAAATTAACCATATTCATCATTATCCTGTGTCACTTAACTGTTTCTAAAGTTAATAAAAAAAATTGTGATATTGGCGAAATATCAGAGGTGGGACCAGGTGCCATGTAGGAGGAGTATCCCCTGCTGACCAGTTACACCCCGCCGTGTGCTCCTTGTCATAATCGGGAAATAACGGGAAAATCCGTCGTCAATTCAGTGTATAAATAATGGACTAACAATTAGTATAAAAAAACGTCAACCAGCATTTGAATAAATGATAAATTGTATTTGCTGACAGGGTCATTGTATCGAGCGTAGAACTTACGAAATGATGACTTTAAACGAGACTGTTGATATTCTTGTTTCATGAACTTGCTTGTCAATAATTTACCCCGTTTTAGAAATTGTTCGTACGTAGAGCATACGCTTGCGTATCGAATCAACTGAGATATAAATACTCCGTATGCAGGTAATGAAGGTATATTGCTGCATAAGTAAGGGAAGTTGACGATAGAAAAGTAAAAGTCATCACGTTTATCATATAGCTTGGTTGTTAGATTACCATTAACGTCTTTTTCAAGTAAAACATCCAAATATGAAATAGATGTGTCAGAATCTATGGTATCTTTTATCTCAAGCTCACCAGGATATATCGTGTCGACGTATATGATATTTTAGGAAATACCATCCTCTAGCAACTTGCAAAGCCTTATAAGGTACATCAATTTCCTGTGAGGAAGCTTGTTAAAGAGAAAAGTTATCAAGTCTAATACTTCCTTCACGACGTTATCGCCTTTGGAAAGAAATGAATATTTTAAATTAAATGTATATACTTTTAAGGGCCATGAAACATAGTCTTGGATTACATTATCATTTTTTTGTACAAAACAAAGATTTTAATTTTTAAAATTTTAGATATACACATATATATGGAAACTACCTGTATAAATGCAATTGTAAATTTTGACAAAAATATGGTCGGTAGATGAAAGAAAAATGCACAATTATGTTAAAAACTCAATTACTGGTCATAAGGTTTAGTCTACACCTTTCGAAGGAAGAGTTATTTCGTACTCCAGTATTTATAAGCGAGAAACATTTTATTATTAAGGTCTTCCGTCTTCTCGGAAGACCTTATAGTTATTCTACTGTTTCTTATTAAGGTCTTCCGTCTTCACGGAAGACCTTATAGTTATTCTATTGTTTCTTCTTCTTATTATTAAGGTCTTCCGTCTTAACGGAAGACCTTATAGCGATTCTATTGTTTCTTATTATTATTATTATTATTTTTCTAATGCGATTTCTCAAAGACTACTGGATGGAATTACATGAAGTTTTCAGGACAGATGTTTTTTTAAATGAATTTGATACATCTGAGAGATTTTTTTGAAATTCGCTTCCGGTGCCAAGTTACAGACCTTTTTCTGATTTTTTTTGTCCACGGATTTTCTCAAGAACGGTAAAAGATATCAATGTGAAAATTTCAGATATTATAGATGATAATGAATACTATCCAGGACGCGACTTTTCGTTTGTCGTCATTACTTCCGCTTGCTACCGGAAGCTTATTTAAAAAGTCTAATTTTTTAGATTTTTTTGTTTTTTAATATTTTTCGTTTATTTTTTGTATGTTAATAGAAACCTTTCTTATAATGCTTACTACATATTTTGTTTGAATATTGATAAATCTAAACTCTAGATATTAGCATTTAAAAATTTGAAGCGTTTCAAAATGGCCGCTCTCTCTGTCAACTCCGACATTTCGCAATAGGGGTTTACTGAGGCAGTCGAGCATTTGCTTGAACGAAAGTAACATAAGGACAAATGGAATGTAAAGGAATACTTGGATTTTCACGTTGTAGTAACGTAACAATTCTGTGTCAAACTAAATTCTTCTAAGTAAACGTCTTCTATAATTGGTTTTGGTTGATTCTCAAAGTAGAAAAAGAAAAGACTAAATGTGCAAATGAAATTCGATACCTAATATCTATGATTGCACCACGGAAAAGCAGCTCATTAATCATTGTTATAAGTAATAGTTTTTCAAGAAGGATATCAATGAATACAGTAAGTATAAAACTTACTCACTGTTTTTCCCATGCACACTTGTGCCATATTAAACTAATAAAAAAGACAAAATAAGATAACCTTATTTTTTTAAAAAATAGTTTATAGCTTAATAGAGTTTATATTAACATTATTGTCTCAAAGATCTTATTCAAGTTATTGAGCACAAACAATATCCAATTTCTTGACCGTCGTAAGGCGAGTCATTTTTTTTTTTTTGCGAAACATTTAAATCTCTTAATGAATTTTTTTAAATAATCGGGATAGTTCACTTTAGCGAGTTCACGTTAACATGAAATTTTAAAAAAGTTAAAATTCATAGCCGTTTCACTGTTTCAGTGTTACTTCCTTATATACTAAATGGAGTTTGCGAAATGTATTAAATATACCTTATAATCATCAAGTTTTATGCTAAATGAACAGTTTTTTTTTTAATTTCATTAAAGCTATCACACCTATTAAATAGAACATTCCAAGGAAAAGGCGCGAAGATTAACTAGTGACGTTTGGCGCGAATTTATGAATAGTGACTAGCTTTCATAATTCTAAGACAAAAGCACTGTTATACAGAGGTATATACAAGAAGATTTAGAGCAGAGGTCCCGACAGATTACGTAATATTTAGCGCGTTGGATTTTCATGCTGCCGACTTGGATTCAATCCCCCTTGCGTGTAATATTTTTTTTTTACCTTTTCATCTAGATTTTACAA